TTATATGTATATATTATACTTTTTTTAGGTTCCTGGGTCCGCTTAGTCGACAGTTTGAGCACCTTAGATGCTGATGCATCATCGGTGAGTTTCGGGCTGATTTTGCCCATCTCTTCTCCAGGTAGTCGTCCCTAATTTAGCAGTGAAAGGCAAGGTGGAAGGCAGCTCGTCAACACCACCCACCACCACTCTTGGGCTACTCTTTTACGAACAAATAGTGGGCTTGACTATCACATTATAACGTTCCCACAGCTGAAAAGGGCGAGCACATTTGGCAAGGAGGAGTCGAACCCACGATTCGTAAATTGTAAGTCGAACGTCCTAACCACCAGGCAATGCTAGGCCTTTTATATATTTATATAGATTTTATTAGCTAATCAGGAATATAACATTTACACATACACCAAAACAACTACATTATTTGTTTAAATGTTTTCAACTTCCATAGGCACAAACATATGACAAAGCATCTAATTAATACCAACTTTAAGTGGTTAAAAATAGTTAAGTTACCAATTTGTATCGAGTTGGTAAAAAAAGATGATTAAGTTATGTGTATCATAGTTAGATTCCCCACTGACCTTTCATGCAAAATAACCACATATGTTTTATTTACAAATGACCAACATCCACTAGTATGGTTCTGCATCTTATAGATGAATAATATAAAAGTTGCTCAATTTGTAGACATCTGTGGTTCTGGCTATATTTCAACGATTGCTTAACAAAGTATTGTCCATCTCAACAATGAAAGACAATTTGCAAATTTCGCTGATGGTTTGTGATAATAGGAATCTTCACAACTGCTCTGTATGAAGTTATATCAGCTAGTTTTAATTAACAGAAAAGCTAGAAATTGGGTAGTTAATTTCTTTAGAGAGGTGTATAATTATGATTCACCATTTGGATCACGTGCTGTGTATTTAAAATCACGATATTAGAGGTAATAAGGGTTAAGTGCGACAAGTAACATGTACAGGACAAATACATTAGTTTCACGGAGAATTCCTGACCATTCGACTGTATAATGCCATCCGGAGTAATGTTGACAAGAGAAATATTCGTATAGCAACATCTTTAGATAATAAAGAGCAAAAAAAAAAAACAGAATATTTTTGAAGAGGGGAAAGCTCAATGTTCTCTATAGAAGCGGAAAAATTTGTAAAAAGCTACAAGCTAATTCATGACAACGTTCCCATCCATAAAGTGAAGGCTAGGGTAACGAAAGAGAACCATCCGACCAAAAAAAGTCATTGTGATGAAATCGAAAATATCTCATTGTATTGTTCGAAAGCTAATAAACAAGAACTCGAAGTTAAAAAATTCTTACAAGACAAAAGTTCACAAGTCGCATCTCGAAATCAACGAACGTTTGTTTTCATTTGAAGGATGGTTGAAGAAACTGGAATAGCAAAAATCCCATTCTACCAAGTACATGTGAAGTTTCCCTGATGCAGACATTTATGCCTTTGATCTGTTTATTTGTTTGTCGTAAAGCAGGAAGCTACACAATGGACCATCTGCCAACCGCGGGTATCGAAACCCGAATTTTTACGTTATAAGTCTACTAACTTACCGCTGTGCCACCAAGAGGAGACTCTAATCTGCGTTAATGGTTTTGAAAGTAAAAATCCATGTAGAGTGCAGCGTCTGCGAAATGTTATCAACCTACGTGGTCTAATTAAGACTGACTTCGTTCACATCGCTAAAGCTTATTATAATGAAAATTGCAGTGTTGGGCAACGGTGATGCTGCCATCGCTATCAAACTGAGCACGAGAGACGATGGAGGAAGTAGTTTCAAAGGGAACACGGGACCTGGAAAAACGTTTTCATAAAGTGAAATTAATATCAGTAGCCATATTGCGAGTTTTCTTTCAGCAGTGCCACATAATAAAACAATTGAAAATGAGATTTTCATCTGAACATTACCTTACGCGTAAGTAGTGAGGTCAGGTCAAGGACCCCTAGGATTCAAGTATAGCATTCCGTAATTATATACTATTTACCATGTAGAAGACAACCTGTCAGCAGCATTCGACATGATATGGACTGTGAACCGAATAATGAGATTCATTATCACTTTTATAACACGCCTACAGATGAAAGTGCGAAGCGTGTTCAGCGATATTGTATCTTGTTACGCTAATTACAGGCCACACCTGGTGCTAATAAAATAAAACAAAAATTAATGTAAATATATATACTTACATACCTTTATATTATTAAGTATTACTTATAAACCTGAAACACTGTTTAGAACCTATTACAAATTCTAATCATGGTGATTTTTGTTTTCAGTCTACAGACATACAGGTTTGCCACTGGGGAGGGGGGGGGGCTTCTGCAAAGTTACCGAAATCTGTTTTTCTTTGTTAAATATAACTTGTATTTCAATATTGTTTATGGCTTGACAATGAAACATTATCCAAACAACAAAGCTTGGTGAAAGACAACCGATCTAAGCCTTCTGTATTCTAGTAACGAAAGTACTTATGTAATATATCATGCTCAAAGTTTGTCTTTTAATCACCTTTTTTTTTCAGAGGGGGGGGCTTTCTTGTTCTAAGTTAGTCTTATGTAATGTCTATTAATTAAGTCGACTGGATCGTTCCCCCCCAAAAAAGTGAAAGAGAGTTTTAGCTTAATCGAATGCTAATTAGAATTTTGGTACTATTCAGCACCTCCAATAACAAAACTAAAGGCTTGCATTGATTGGTTCTGGTTAGTTAGACGTCACAAAAGCGGGTAAGAACTAAATATATGTGAGTAATAAGGAGAACTGCGTCAGCGAAACTAGTCTTGTTACGGTGGTTAACGAGCGAGCTTGAATGAAGGACGAACTGGTGACAAGCAAATTTTATTGTTGTATATGATTGCAATATCAGAAAACTTAACCACACGAAAGACATATGTAGTCAAACGTTTGTCAGAAATGGGTACTGTTTTGTCGTTAAGGAAGAAATAAATACAGGTGTGATTTAGATGATTCAATTCAAATGTTTTCTTTTGTTACGTTAAAACTAAAAATGCTTGATGGCTTTTTACGATTGGCTGTTTCTTTGGTGGCTAAGTTTTTCTATCAGATCTTTTAAAAATTTTAATGTAAGATATATATGAGCATTCTACTGACTGTTTAATTCTAAATTTACCTCTTCCTCACTGATCGGGAGTGGCACATTATATTTTTAGACAAAATGAAGGTAGGAAACTATAGTGTTGAAGAAGTGATTCCACGCCCTCTGACGGAAGAAGATTGCATAAAAAAGTATCAAGACAAACATCCAACGAATGGTAGGTGCAAAATATTGACTTAATCACTTGAATTCTATTGTATAAGAAGAAGAAGTGGATAATCAAACACAACCTACCTCTCTGTATCTACATGCTTGTCTGTCTGTAATGGGTTGTCAAATATAACCTACCTCTCTGTATCTACATGCTTGTCTGTCTGTAATGGGTTTTCAAATACAACCTAGCTATCTGTATCTACATGTTTGTCTGTCTATAATGGGTTGTCAAACCCAACCTAGCCATCTGTATCTAAATGCTTGTCTGTCTAATGGGTTGTCAAATACAACCTAGCTATATGTGTCTACATGCTTGTCTTTCTGTCTAGTAAACTAGCTATCTGATATTTTAGAATGTACTTTTAACTACCCGTTACACTGTATTTCATTTGTAAATTCTCCTTCTGGTAATTTTTGCCTTTTATAATTGACTTACAAGAAAGTTAAAATAGTTTTTACAAAGTTGGGCTATTACTATAACTAATGAACATCATTAATTTGACCAAACCACAAAGGCTTCAATAACTGCTGTTATGGTTACGTCGTGTAAAAAGCTAGACGCTCCGATGGTCACCAAATTAAATACTTTCTAATTCCAGACAGTCCCTGTGACTATAAGGCTGAAGAATATATTCAAATTAACAATCCTTATGATGAGAAATTCGACTAGATAAATTTTATAGCGCTAGTTACGACCAATCAAGCGCTTGTAAACATTTTTCTATACGCTGGCATCATGATTGTGGTACTTTTAGTAACTTGAAAATGGTTTTGTTTTGGAGCCAGATAGGTAACGTGAGATCCGTTTGCTGAATAATTTACGTAGTGATACACATCACACGACATTTGAATAGCCTAGATATGAAAAACTTATTCCCTTCCATAAATCGATGTGTTCCATATATATAACATAGCAGAAATAACATTTGTAATTTTGCCAGAACTATTACTTAATGATTTAATTTGTGATGTACGTTACAAGTTATTAAAAAAAATATTCCAAATAAGCTTCAACAAGAATTAAAACAGTATGTTTGCTGATTCTCATCTTAATTATAGGTACCTTAAGTAGAAAACAAGCAGAATTCAAATTAAGGCAAACTAATTAAGTTGTTACAAAATCCTTATTAAATACGGCTAATTTATATTTCAAATTACTCAGTTGTTATTCAAATCCATAGATATTTTTCATAATAAACATTTTCTCTGAAATCCACTTGTTATATATCTTCTATTAGCTTGATGCATTTCGCAAGCATTGCCAGTGAGCATCGTGGTTTTGCTCTCACATTATTCATATTTTCAGAAATTATGTTTTAATTATAGTAGTTCTTCCATTTCTCAGAGCTTTAAAAGTTAGGAAAAGTCCTTAACGTAAAATATTACGAAATAATAGATTCGTATATATTTACAATTAAGTCAAATTACTGATGTAAAGATAATGAATTTCCATAACTTCTTTTACTAAGTACAGTGTTTCTTGTTTGTTACTATTGTAATAGTTTTAGCTATTTATGACACAGTAAAAATGTGTTCCTTAGTTAGGGAAGGCAGAATCAGAATTCACAATTTTATGCGCAAAGGTACACAAAGGGTCATCCGTGCTTAGTCACCTTTAATTTTGAACTGATATACCAGAGGGAAGGCAGGAAGGCAACAGTAACTACGGCCAATCCTTGTGTTACTCTTGTTTGATGGAATACTGGGATGCCATCGTCACTCTTATAGAGTGCAGTCATGAAAGGTCATCATCCTATTTGCCATCTATGTGGATGGACTGTTTAACTACGCTTTAGGGTTATGCCGTACAGGCTCTAAATCATCTTGAGAGAGAGTCCTATTCCAATGTTCTTGATGGGAATAGTGCTGACCTGCACCTTGGTTCGTCTCTTACCTCTTTGCTCTGGTCGATTCCAGAAAGGCAATCATGGTTTGTTTTCACGCCATTCACTACCGATGGGAATCTACATAATGTATTATACTAAGTAATTTCACGTTTATGTCTATTACAACACACAATGAAGAGAACCAAGCATGTAATCAATGAAGCTTGTAATTATTGGTATAGTTAAATAGTTGGGAATTCAAAATACAAAACATGTTATGGGTTTACTAACTTAAATATCATATCATCCAAAGTATAAGGGAAGCATATTCCCAGCTAGTAATGAGCCCGTCTTCATTGAGCTTACATGTACGCACAGTTCATAAAGAGTTCAGTGGATCAGATTGGCACATCCACTCCGTGCAAAAAAATCCATGCTAGCGAATTGCACAGGCAGGCTGCACCACATAACCCACTCATCACAATCGTGAATGTAAGGTAGTTTAAGCGTCGAACTTCAGATGCAAAATAATAGAAAACCATCAAGGGAAATGATAAGTTACGCTAATTGTTTCCCCGTCCCGCCAAACATGCTCGCCCTTTCAGCCGTGGGGGCGTTATAATGTGACAATCAATCCCACTATTCGTTGGCAAAAGAGTAGCCCAAGAGTTGGTGGTGGGTGGTGATGACTAGCTGCCTTCCTTCTAGTCTTACACTGCTAAATTAGGGAGGGCTAGCGTATATAGCCCTTGTGTAGCTTTTCGCGAAATTCAAAAACAAACAAAAGCTACTTGTTGTATGCTTAAATTAGATGGATCTGGATTTGACGGCAATCTGGAGCACATTTTGGATATGAGTGTCTGATCCCAATCGTTTTAGTTAGTTCAGACTTCTTCCACTTGTTATCTTTAAAGACGCTATGAATGTTTTTGTTTTTTGTATAATGACATTCTGGACATTACTTCACTGCCCATGTTGCTGAAGGTTATAGGAAATGATCATAGTGAACTAAACAGATGCTGCCCATTTCATCTTTGTTTGCCCATCATTAATACTCTGCCTAAATCATTTATAAAAGCAAAATCAGTATTTTCTTTAACATAAGCTGCATAGTTAGTCATTTACATTTCAGTGATTTATATGGTGAGTTAGTTAGAGATATTATGGTCACGCTATTCTCTATGAACAAAAGCCCCCCAGTGGCACAGCAGTATGTCTGTGGATTTACAATGCTAGAAACCGGGTTTCGATACCCATGGTGGGCAGAGCACAGATAGCTCTTTGTGTAGCTTTGTGCTTAACTTCAAACAAACTAACTATGAATTAAAAGTATTCTAAATATATTACAAACGAATTAAATGTTAGGGTTAGAATGTTCTAACTTCCGATATCGAGCAAATATAAATAGAAGTTTATTTTAAAATACTAAATCATATTTCGGGCCAATTATTTATGGTAATTAAAATTATATCTTACTGCGATATTTCTCCCATCTTCATTTTTTATTACAAAGAATCATGAGTTATTTTAACACAAATCTGAACTTGGTTCGCATCTTTTTTTTTTTTGAAGCATGTTAAATGATAATACGCTTCAGTTAACAGGAAAAGAAGCTGTCAATGCTGTAGTTAAATAATCTCAACATACTGCCAGCGTCTATAACTTTTACCACATTTAGATCTGTTTTATAAGTAAAATGTAACTCCTATGCAAAATGTTAATAGTGTTTTTACAGATATAACTGTCATCATAAAAATGATTTGTCTTTGTATTAATTTCAATTTGTTTGAAAAAAAAAGCAAAATTTACTGACAGCTGCAAAAGCTTTTTTCAAAATATATATTTCTGTGTCGCAAAATTAACAAAACCAGTGCATTAAAAGAAGCTGGTAATTAGAATTTTTACCACAATCGTAACATGTTCTAAGCTTGTTTATGTAAAACAGAACCTCCAGCAAATATACTATATGCTGTTTCTCTAAAAATCAAAAGTACCTGTTGCCCACAAAATAGCATTCATTTCAAGTCAGTTCTGCAGCTGATATTCCAAATTTATACTGTAATAGATGAAAAGTTATCTACTAAAAAAAGACTCAAATTGTTTACTTACTGGATACTAAGCGAACTGCATAAGAAGTGTGGGAAACGTCTTTGAAGTTTACAAAATTAGATAATACAAATACTTCTTTTCGTACATTGACTGGCCACCTTTATTAGGAGACTTAAATGTGCATTTAGAAATCACTCCATTTATTTTCAGATGTAAAATATACTGTTTTTTTGGTTATGTCAGGTAAATTCCCGAGTTATATAAATAAAGAGATGTAGTTATATCATGATCAGCATGTAAGATAATACATAAAAATAAGGACCTCTCCGACTTTCAAAAGGGTATTTTAGTATCGAAAATTTATAACAAAAAGTGACATATGGGTCATGTTTCACCCCTTTTTCTAGTGACTGTAGAGTGTAAATACCGAGAAAAACTTATTATCATTAACTTCTGATTACAGCAAGCTACCTACACAGATCAGAATTAAAATGATCTCAGTAATTAATAGAGCTAATTTAATGTAACGTTATTACTTACAATGATTAAAATGTTTGTCTTAGAGTGCAAGCTACAAGACGTGGTGTAATAATATGGGAAAAGTACTTGTGGTAAGAGCTGGGTTTTCTCATTATTTTAGGTAAAAAAACCCATCTAGAATGAGTTTGAATGTTGTGGCTGGTTATGTACACTCATGAACATGATGCAACATTAATGTATGCTGGTAATGTCTGAAATCGATTTCAGTCACATCCACTAGCAACACAGTTAGAGAATTTAAATTCAGTTGACTATGTTTGGGACCGTACTTCTCTACAAACGATCGAATAAGACATCTTTCAGTATTTTGTGAAGTTTGTCCCACTTCATGTTATTGTCCTGGCAAAAGATGGTCTTATCTGACATTAATTTTGATGGAGAGAGGGTCCTGATAGAAATGCCAGTCATTGGTATTATGATTCTGTTTTAAGTCATAGCTATATATGTTAAACCTCTGCGTTTATAATTTAGGTGACATTTATTCCACTACCAATGTTAATGTTACACAACAAACACATCTTTGTTGCTCAAAAATCATGCTGTTTATGGTGATATGCCAATAAACATTATTTCATATATTAAATACAAC